AAAAATTTTTATTAATTAAATTTCATTTTTAATTAGTAAAAATTTTTGCATTAACTTTACAATTAGAGCAACTCTTTTAGAAAAAATCTAAAAAATCTGAAAAAAATATATGTTAAGCTATAATTGATAAACTTTATTTTAATATGAAAATAAAAATTATTTCTTATTAAAATTATAAATTTTTATATAGAGAGAAATTTTCAATTTTTACTATATTTTATTAGTAAATTTAGCTCCTGAGTCATTACTTTTGGTCACCACTGTATATATAATGATAATGATAAATATTTATATCTTATTGTTATACATATTTTATCATTATAACTTCTTGAAGTTCTATATGGGAATATTTTAATCAAATTGGTCATATTTGCTGGATTTCAATAATAACATGCAGAATGTAACTACTGTAAAAATCCCAAATATTAATGCAATAATTTAGTAATTCAGTGTAAGTCATATCTGCACGTATGTCCAAATGCCTCAATTGAAGTTAAATGATCATTTTTTGGTATGAGCTTTGAAAATCCAGAAATTACTAATACAAGTTTACTCAATGCTAATTCACCTGGAAGTCAATTTATGCAATACAAAGCAAAATCAGATCTTTTCAGTAATACATTAGCATGAGAGTGCATTGATAATATAGATCCAATTACTTGATGGATTGCAAATTTTGCACAAACAGTATCTGAATTAACACAATTAGCACATTTTTAAATTAGTTTATATTTATAGTAACTATAAATTACAAACTCCTCCAGATAATCAAAAAAAAGCATTAATGATGAAATAAGTGTCAATCAATATTATGCTGGTAATGAGAGTGATGAAAGCAAATATCAGGATAGTAATGAAAGGATGGTAATGATAATGAACAAATTAATATATCAGATAATAGTTGATTGATATATTAGAAATATCAAGTGATAGTGATAATTATTGATAAATGTATATAATAGTTATAGAAAATAAAATCATTATTAGTTTTTATGAATTCACATCGCTGTGTATGTATATACTATGTACTATGCGCATAGTGATGTACAATGCGCGCATTTCCCATCTCTAAGCTTGATAATGACATCCCAAAGCAAAATACGCAGATGGAATCCGTTGATTCGTTGCTTGTCTTTGCCAATAAAATGCTGTTTGACTATTTTGATATGTGCTGACAATATTGGACATGAAAAACGATCAAGAAGGTATTGTCCATGCGTGTTGTTGCGTTCTGACGCCTTTCTGTTATTCATCAACGGACTTTGCTTGGTTTTGCCTATCACATGATATAATGCTCCTAGAATTACGTGATCTTGTGGACTAAGATGATAATTTTTAGTTAGATTTTCGATCATTTCAAGTGTGTCAGAACGAATGATTTTATGGAAACTCTCTCATTATCATAGACCCACTTTATTATTTCAATATCTGAGAAAAAGTACTTTCATAGCATTTTCATAATCTGAGAATTACGTATCATGTTCATTACTTTATTCGTGTTGCGTGTTATTTTCACTAAAGAAATGGGGAATAACAATGACGACCCCCATAGGTGACACTAAACTTCCCGACATCCTAACCTCCCGATTATCCAACATCCCGACAATCCAGCGACAATCAAGCTTCTCGAGATCCAATATCCGACAATCTAACATCCCGACAAAGCCAACTTCCCAACAACATTTTCACATTTTAAATGAACTATTGTTGATGTTAAATGTTAATAAATGCTAGTGGTCACTCCATATAAAAACCAGAAATTGGACTAGTTTGTCGGGAAGCTTGGATTTGTCGGAAGTTGGATTTGTCAGGAAGTTGGATATATTGGATTGTCGGGAAGTTGGATTTCGGGAAGTTGGATTGTCGGGATGCTGTGTTGTCGGGATGTTGAATTGTCACTTGTCGGAATGTTGGACTGTCGGGAAGTTGGATTCCCAGGAAGTTGGGGTAGACCCGATCCCCATAAATGGAAAAATGGAGTACATGCACATAAATGTAACGGACGTTCTGCTTCGAATTATTGATATCTAAAAAATAATTAACAGAAGCATTATCATTATGCTTTAATATCAATAACTGCGAAAATGATCAATAAAACGATTCGAAATCTAATCACAGCATTTTTTTTTGGATACATGTACATGTATATTGTTATTGTGATATATTTGCTGAAATAATGCAGTACATGTAATTTATATGAGAATAATGTGCGGTCGACATACATTAATCTTTAATATACATAAAATAAGTATAATTATCCAGTACACCTATATACATTCAGAATGAATAAAAGTTTTTATGACTGCACTGCACTTCTCAATAACTTAAGGCCAGAATGCAATCTTTGATAAGAATTTCATCGACTATTTTTTTTGTTAATACATAACAATAATACATGTACTTTGCTTTTTTAAACTTACCCCATATGTTCTAGCCCGTTACGGGATCAAGTTAGTACTTGGGAATCCATTATACTAAAACAAGATTCGTACAGGATTATTACAGGATTAGTGCAGAATTATATAATAAATTTGTACAAATTTGTACATACAGATATCGAATTTTCAACCTGAGAACTCAAGTGATTGGCAGTTTGGATATTTTGCATGACTTTTCTTCCAAATTTCGACTCGGGCTAGAACATAAGTACCGATATGGTGTGTGTGCTAGAAAAAAAGGGAGAATGCGTACAGTACATTGTATTGTTTTCCCTTCTTTTTCCAGCACTCGTCCACACAAGGAAGTTGCATGGCATGTATAATATCAACGTTATAAATAACAGAAATTTATCACAACAATAAAAAACTGTAATACATGTACATGTACTTGTACTTGTAATTACTGTATATGCGAGAATGGAAAAGAAGATATCAGATACGAATTATGCTCATACGGAAGATGAAAATGATAAACCACCTAATTATGCAAAAGCAACGAAAGAATTTTTCTCGGATATTGAAAAAGTTACGATGTACAACAATAGGCAATTCGCCATCAAAAAATTCCTTGCAACAATTGAATCAAGTGAAGACCAATTATTGGAGTATTTAACAAAACATCAACAGCACCCAGAAAATCAAGTGATTCTTGGCGCATTATACCTCGAAATGGGCAAAAGAATCGAGTGTGTTCAAGAACTAAAAAAAGCAACCGAATTAAACAATCCTCATGCGCAGTATCTTCTTGGATATTGCTATGGTGAGGGAGTCGGTACATTGCAAGATAAAGAAACGGCAGTTTATTGGTATCAACAGGCAGTAAATCAGCGAATTCCGGCTGCTTATTATTCTCTAGCATATCATTATGCCAACGGATCTGGTGTGAAGTTAGATAAATTAAAAACGTTCTACCTTTTTCGTAAGGCGATGGAAAATGGGCATCTTCGTGCTTTGTTTTCTCTTGCGTATACGCATCTTTATTCTATTGGCACTTCACGCGACATGCACAGAACCATTTATTGGTTGAAGAAAAGTAAGGAAGCAGGAGATAATATAGCTTATAATTATCTAACAGCGATATTTGATTAAGAATTTTGTCGTTAATATGAATACTGGAATACTGCGGTTTTTAAGATTCATATTCCCATTATTTAAAGCTGATTGTTTATTTCATCTGGATAAATAAAATTAGCTAAAGATTTGATAAACCTTAATTGTTGAGTTAATAAAGATAACAACAATACATGTATAAAATTACATATCGAACTACCGTATTTACGTAAACATTTAGCGAATTCTCGTTCAGGTAAATTTGTTGGATCCAACCCAAAATCCCGAACGTCAAAATCCCGACGTCTAAAATCCCGACGCCTAAAATCCCGAAACGTCCACGAATGCCCAACATCCCGAACGCCCAAAATCCCGAATGTTCAACAGCCCGAATGCCAAAAATCCTGAACGCCTAAAATCCCGAATGCCCAAATCCCAAAATATGGAATAAAACACATGAGAAATATAAAAGGTGAAATTTGCACTAATCTACTCTTACTCTTTTTGGATACGTGAAATTTTAAGTATTGAATATGTTGGAATTTTTGGTATTTTGGCATTCGGGATTAGGAATTTTGGACATTCAGGATTTTGAGTATTCGGGATTTGGACATTCGGGATATTGACATTTCGGGATTTGGGCTTTCGGGATTTTGGACATCGGGATTTTAGGCGTCGGGATTTTGGCGTTCGGAATTTTGGGCGGCATGTGTAGAATGTTTTAATCTCCTAAAAAGTATCTCATAAGTATCACGTATATTTCGTATTTTTACCAAATTCTTTTCTAGCCATTCATTTCCCAAATTAACATGATTTAATTTCTATTCTGCGAAGTATGTAACGGAATTATTGCAAATAAACGCTACACCATTCTCTGTATATCTAAGCAAATATCGATAACGATACGTATTGTGGCACATTTGCTTTGGCACGATTACCGTATCCAACTGAAAGGCAAGAATTAGTACATAGATATTACTTAAAATCTAGTATTTATGTTGTAAATGAAAATACACTTCCAAACGAACTACATTATCACGATTTAACTGGTGTTGTCGATGTTAAAGTGTGTAGGATGATAAAAGACGTTCCGACAAGTGTTGTCCTCGATTTGTGCAGCGCTTTTTCACCATCCTACAAGAAGCCATACAGCAGATTTCTATTACTTAAATGAAGGATTTTTATAATAGTTTCGATGAAAAACGAACAAATGTTTCTGGTTAGAAATTGAGAATTCTCAGAAGTTAGATTTTTAAGCGAATAATGTAAGGGAATTTAGAAATTTATTATAAGAACTTTAGTTTCTTAATTAGTTTCTTATTAACAGTTCAAAAAGTTTTGATCTAGATCAACTTCCCACCAAAGCGACGAAATCCTGGATCTTTAATACCTTCTCAAAAGAAATTACATTGTGAAGCCGTTAATGATCATGGAAGTGGAGGTATAGCGGGTAATAATTTTTGTTCGTTCTGAATAATTTCGTATGGTAAGCCTAGAAAAACACCACAAAGATTATTTCGAAATAGATACATCTCGAAGAAATTCTACAATAACAGAAAAAAATTCGACCCAAAATGATTCCGCTCGTCACAACTGTTTTTTTTTTGGTTTAAGGACCTAACGATGTGGACTAGCAGAGAGAAGAATGTACACAATTCTGGCAGAGTTTTGATAAACAAGCAATGGTTTAAAGCAATTAATTATAATTTTTTTTTCAATTGTTGATTGTTAATTTTTTTTATTTTTTAAAATCACTATTTTTGCTATTATTATTTAATTGTTAGCGTTTTCACATGCGATCTATTGGCGACGATAGAACTTAAAATCTAATACTGTATAATAATAAAGTTTAAAAAATAATTGAAAGAAAAATAGTTTTTGCGAGAGAACTCCCCAAAGAATAATAAATAAAGCTTGGGGATTGAACGTGAAATATTGTTTTGGATAGAAAATTGAAAATTACGACAGATCTTTAAATACATACACATGTATGATCTGCGATATTATTCAAATTCGGTAACAATATGTTGCGTGCTGTCTGACTTGCCAGATTTAAAGCATTACATGTATGTTGCTGTCTTGCGCTGCTGTTGCCTTCTTGTGTATAGTCTAACTTGTCTGATTCACGTGCTGTCTTCGTGTAGTTTTCCTGGTAGCATGCTATGTATGTTGTAGACAAAGGCCAGACTGCGCACCGAATCTAGAGATGTTCAATTCAAGCAAGCCAAACTCCGGTGCGAATTATAAGGAGCTGACCTTACAGACTGTCTTTTATTTTCATATGAATTCAATTTAATATCTTGACATCCAGTGACCCGATTCTATCGAAAAATACTACCATTCGATTTATTTCAACTAGAAAAATCAAATGGTAGTTTTTCGCTCGAATCAGGTTGCTGAATGTCAAGATATTAGAATTGATCAAAAAATGATAGATGTAATATCTCGATGCGCAGTGATCTTATTCAAATGAAGATACTATTATTCAATTTGCCTTGACTAGATGAATTGAATATTTTGCATTATAAAGCGGCTGATTCATTTTGTTGATATTAAAAGTTAATCAACCAGTTTAGAATATACATCTCTACATGTAACTAGCAGATTTAATGCCATTCGATTCGTCCCAACTAGAAAAATCAGGTTGTAGTATTTTTTGTTCACATCGTACCACTGGGATGTGAGAATCGGATTATTAGATGTCGAAATATAATCATAAAGTGAACAGTTGTGGAAGGTTTGATGAACAACCTCCATTCTAGAAAGTTTTATTGGCCTATAAAAGACGTAGATGATCAGTTTTATGTTGTTCTCTGTACTCAGAAATTTCTTGACATTACATGCAATTTTGCCAAGATGTGGAATCAGATACTTATGATTCGCACTGTAATTGACTAAAATATGATAATGTTGCATCAGTATATGCTAATGCATCCCATGAGATTTGTAAACTTCTATCAGTTGGTACAGAAACCATGGTTTGCCATTTGATCACCAATACAGAACTAAAAATCATTTTATAATAACGATAAGATTAAAAGTGGTAAGATTAAAAATGATAAGCTTAATTTTTGAATAGCACTTAAAAAAATTCAAGTTGAATAATAGATTAGATAAAATAGAAAATGATCGTATTTTGATTATTGCTTTATTGATTGTTAATTTTTTTCTCATTACAGTATAATTTTAATTTTAAATAAATCACTATATAATTAAACTCAAGGGATAATTTGAAAAAGCCAAATATTAAACATCAAATAAATGGTTAGAATGAGGGGGATATTATTGGTAAACAATGTGAAAATGTTTTTGATTTAATGGTTATAGGACGATTAGTAGTAATTTTATTTTTTATTAATTAAATATAATAAAACATAGTTAATCTTTTTTTTCATACGCAACGCAGCCGATAAACAGATAAGCCAATATAATACGCATTTAGGTAAGTCAGACATGCAATATAGCATTCAAATCAGATAAGAAGGCTATTTTTTACTTTTAATTTTTTTTAGCACGCAACGTAACATAACATGCAAATCTGGCAAACGAGGCTACGCATTATGCAAATCCGGTAAATGAGCAACGTATACAATGTACATGTACATGTAAATAATATTAACCAGCTTGTTTATTAGTATCAGTTGATTCTGATTTCAAATTCAGTGATTTTATATCTGAAAATATTATAAACCAAAGTTTCATAGGATTCCAAATTTCAGAAGAAGCTCAACGGTAGTTAATAGGCGATAATTCGATATACGTTTCAAGGGAAATGATGATGATGATATCACGAGTTTTATTTTAGTTTGTTCGCCAGAATGTGTTAATATCAAATAATGCACAAGTGCTTATTCATAATAAATTCTTCATAATTAATGGCTACGTTATTATTCTTGCTGAGATTTCTTTCTCAAATTATTATTTTAATAGAAATGATTATTTAACATCAAGTATAATTATTAAACATGTGAAAATATCAATATAGAAAGAAGAATATGAAAAATAAAATTTTGATTACCGTATACTCCCAATTTAAGCAACCCCGAAAATAAGCAACCCCTTTGTTAAGTTTATTATTTAATAGATAAAATGATTTTATTAATATTCATTATATTTTAACTCATTAGCAGAACTTTCATCTTCATTACTATCTCAATTACATTATCAATTTCTTCTATTCTTCTTGTTTCTGTATCTGAATCATATAATAAATCATCTTCAGTTCCATCTAATGTATTAGAAATGCCACATTTTTTAAATGATTTAATGATTATTTCTATAGGAATATTGTTCTATACCTCTAAAATCCATTGACAAATCAAATTGTGTCCAAACTTTTTTAAATTTTCATCTTTTGTCAATTGATATTCACTATTACTTATTCACAAATGCCATTTTTCTCTTAATCTATCTTTAAATGATTTGTTGATACATACATTTAAAAGTTGTACAATAGAATAATTGTTATATACAGATTCAGTTTTATGTTCTTCAAATGAATTCATAACAAGTAATAATTGGGATTTTTTTGTTATTATTATTTCAGATTGTTTATTCTAAATTTATTCAATTTATTCACACATCAAATATCCATTTATCCAAGCTTTTTTATGTATATATACTATAATATCTCAAGAAAGATTGAAAAAATTCATATAAATTTGAAAATTATTATAAAAGAAAGTTTACTATTATCAGCTACAATAGCCAAAACATATATAAATTGATTTTTATTATTGCTAGTTGTTCAAATATAAATAATCTTAGTATCTTTTATATTAATTATAGTAATACCAGTCATATTAAAATAAATTGATATTTTATCTATATTAATAATATAAGAAAGATTATACTTATAAGTTAATCAAGATTAAATTACAAATTTTTGAAAGTTTATAATTTTTTTTACTAAGATTTTCAAATAATTTTTAATTAATTTTAGTTAAATATTACTGTAATAATATAAAATTCTCTAATTTCATAATTTTCTTTAATTATATGAAATTTTATTTTTCTATAATTTTATAATTTATCATATAATTACTCTTATTTTTATCTAATAATATATCTATTTCTTTTATTATATTTATCTCTTATATTCATATTTCTATCCTAAATATTATAATTTATTTTCTTAATTTGAGATTTACATTTTATACATATTTAGTTTAGTATACTTAATAGAATAATATAATTAAAGATCTTATTAATTCTTCATGAAATAATAAAATACTGATATACTAATATTCTAGTAAAATAATGAGATACTAATATATCAACATTCTGATAAAATAATAAAATATCAATATATTAACATTCTAATAAAATAATGAAATATTAATATACTAATATTCTAATAAAATAATAAAATACCAATATACTGATATTCTCATGAAATAATGAAATACTAATATTATAGTATTCTAATATAATAAATAAATTATAAATTTTTAAAATACTTTAAAATATTGATATATATAATTAGATAGTATTAATTAGTAATATTATAATAATTCATATATTTGAAAAATATATAAAAGGATTTGCTATTCTAACTTGAAATAAACCATTTTGAATTAAATTATTTAGAAATATAATTAAAAAACTTATTATCATAATAATAATAATCTTTTAATTTCTTTTTTAATTATATTAATATCCTTTCTTTCATTCAGTTTTATTTTTTTAATTATATAAGTTAATTTTGATTTGAATATAATATTATATTGATTTGAATTTTTAATATTATTATTATATTTTTAAGAGTAAAAGATTTTTACTATAAATAAGTTATACTTTTTATTTTATTTATTTTTGAGAGTAAAAGATCTCTATTATAAATAAGCTATATCCTTTTTAATTAGTTATTTTATTAAGTTTTTATCTTTTTTTTAGTTATAATCTTTATTAATTAATAGTAATTTTACTATTTAATTATTTTAAATTTTTTTAGTTATAGTCTTTATTGATTAATAGTAGTTTTACTATTTAATTATTTTAAATCTTGAATTATAATTAATTAATAATAGTTTTACTTATTAATCTTTATAATTTTCTTGATTTATATTATTCTTTTATTTTATAATTTACTTCTTTAAAGATAATATCTGTAGATATTGATATAGATCTTAGAAATCTTTATCAATATTAAAGTTATAGTATTATTATAATAACATAAAATTTCTTGATTTCATAATCTTTGATTATATGAAGCTTTAGTTTTCTATAAATTTATAAATTATTATAATTATCCTTATTTTTATATTATATATTTACTATATTTATTCTTTATTATCATGTTCTATTTTTAAATATTATATCTTATTTAAAGATCTTTTTTAATTTTTGATAAAATAATAAATTATCAACATTTAAAAATTAACAAAATATCTATATAAATAATAATATTTAAAAAATTAATAAAATATTCATATAAATATTAATATTTAAAATATTCATGTAAATATTAATATTTAAAATATTAATATTTAAAATATTCATATAAATATTAATATTTATAATATTTATATAAATATAGATATTTTCAATATTATAGATTATAGTTCTTAATAATAATATATATATTTAAATAGTATTAATTAGTAATACTATAATAATTTATGTATTCAAAAAATATATAAAAGAATCTGTTATTTCAGCTTGAAATAAATAATTTTGAATTAAAATATTTGAATAATATAATTAAAAGCTTATTATCATAATAATAGTAATCTTTTTGAAAAATTTCTTTTCTAATTATACTAGTACACTTTCTCTTACTTGATTTTATTTCTTTAATCATATAAAGTTAATTTTGATTTAAATTATAATATTATATTAATTTTTGATTTTTGATATTATTTTAAAAATAAAAGATCTCTATTATAAATAAGTCATACTTTTATTTTATTTATTTTATTATTTGAAAGTAAAAGATCTTTACTATAAATAAATCATATTCTTTTTAATTAGTTATTTTACTTTAGTTTTTATCTTTTATTTAGTTATAGCTTTCTTTAATTAATAGTAGCTTTACTATTTAATTATTAAATCTTGAATTATATTGATTACTAGTAATTTTACTAACTAATTTTTATAATTTTCTTGATTTATTTTATTTTTTTATTATTTATTTATCTCTTTGAATGATAATATTTATAGATATTAATATAAATTTTAAAAATCTTTATTATTATTAAAAGCATAATCTAATTTCTCTCTTTTTTTATCTTTTAATTAATTTAGTCTCTCTCAATCTAATATTATTAAGATGAATCCAAATAAAAATTCACTTATCAAATTTATTATAATATATTTTTAATACTCTTTTTATGAAATAAAGACCCTTTCTAGACTCTTTATCATATTCTTTTATATTTAGATTCTTTTTATACCCTTTTATACCTCTTCTTTTATTCTTCTAATAATTAATAAATAATTATATCTTGAATTTTCATGACTAATTATTATTTTTTTATTAAATTACCTATTAATTATCACTTATAAACATATCAAGATCCCAATTTTACTATTAGAATATCTACTTGAGACTTTTATTATTCTCTTCAATCTCAAATTACTTTATAATTTTAGACTTTTTGCCTACTTATAGAAAATATTAAAGCAGTATCAATAAATTAAATATATATTTATTATTTATAAATTAATTTAACTTGAACTTAGTAAGATAAATACTATTTAACTTAGATAAAGAATAATATAACTAACTTTACTTTATAATCAAGAACTTCTTCTAATACTAATAATATTGATGGATATTATTCTAAAATCAAGAACTTGAAAGAATTAATAACTTTACCTATATAAACTATAATAAATTCAAAATCAAAAGAAAATAGTATTTATTTAGAAAAAGAAAATAATATAGAAACTAAAGAAGAAGAAGAAGAAGATAATTAAATAGCTTAAAATAATAACAATAATTTGAATAACTTAATTATAGTTATTGATACTCTC